AAGGTGGATATGTTTCAATATTAACAAACCTAATTTGAAACATCTTAAAATTGATTTGTTCATGTAACTACCCAAAATTGCTAACAATAAGATGAAGAATAGGGGATAATGCCAAAATTTTCAAATTTCCAAAAAATTCAAATGATCCAGCAGCATGTGTCGAAATTTTCAAACAAAATTTACTATGTTTAGTTAGTTGTTTAGGCGGGATTTTCATCTTATTTTTTGCTTACTATTTTAGAATTATTTAGGTTCCCTCTTTATATAATAATAGATATAAAAAATACTCCCTCATTTTTTAAATAAATGTCGTTTTGACTTTTTTAGTTCATTCATTTTGCTATGTATCTAGACATTAATATGTCTAGATACATAGCAAAATGAATGAATCAAAAAAATCAAAACGACATTTATTTAAAAAAGGAGGTAGTATGATTTAATGTAGTTATATTAAAAAAGTGAGAGATTCTACCGTCCCCACAGAGTTTGTAACTGAGTTTGTAACTGTTAGATCAACTATGCACGACAATTTCGCGATCATTTAATGGTTACAAATTCTACATAACTATAACATTTCCCTACCTAAAAACTACCGACCAAACAATTAAGGACAATTCATTCTTGGTGGAACACGCCATTTTTGAACTCCAATTTAAGCTCTGTTTTGTCAAAAAGTTATTACCCATCCTCACGTTTTCCTAGGAAATCTCCATCTTTTATCCCCTTCCGTACTCTCTCTCTCTCTCTCTCTCTCCCCCTCATTTTGTAGCAACCGGCCGAAATCTGATCGACGTCGACCTTCGTGGATTTCGTTTTGAAGGGTCGCCGGTTACATCGGATGGCCGCGTACGCTGCGGCGGCGGCTTGCCGGCGCGCGGCGCTTAAGTTCGGAGCCGGCGCGACCGGAACACGCTTGCCGGGCCCGTACCGGTTGGGCTCGAGGTCCATCTCCGAGCTCGCTAACAAAGCAAACGGCAAACGCCTCTTTCTTGTCGACACTTTAGCCCTAGTAAATTTAACCTCCACTTTCTTTTATAACTTCGTATTTGGTTTGGTTAATTGATTGATCTAATCGATGCTCAGTTATGTTTGGATTGATTTTTTATTTTATTTTAAAAGGTTAGGAGATTAGAGGGGCAAGGGGTGCCGTCGAAGCAGGCGGAAGCCATAACGGGGGCAATGATGGAAGTCCTGAATGATAGCTTGGACAATGCTTCCTTATGGTTTGTTTCCAAAGGTGAAATGCAAAGAGTAAGCGAATCCGCCTTCGTGTTTTCGTGTCGTTGGCATGTACATTGATTTGTTGTGTGTTTTTGTGAAGATGCTTTTGTTTGGAGGGATTTGAGTTTTTACCTATTGAAATGTTTTTCTTCTGTGCAGAATGAGATGACACAAGAATCCAATTTGTCCAAATTCAAGACTGAAGTTAAAAGTTCACAGGTACTTGAAAGGCGCGATCACAACTTCTTTTATAATCGTTGCAAGTGCGTGATCATGCCTCTTCTAGTTAATTTTTATAGTTATGTTGCTGCCCAAAATATTCCTGACAGAACTGCCCGTCCGTTTCTCTGCTTAAGAATATGCCAATGGACATCCATGATGTGTTTGTCTGATAACGCGTCGAGTATCATACACGGGGGTGTATGCTCTGTCATTCATAGACCTGGATAGGTGTCTTACATCAAATGATGCAAATTAGGCCTCTTCTCATTGATGTTGTATCATGGAATTGGCATATTGCCCGAGATTTTGCGCAGTTGATTAGTTTAATATGTAGTTTATCGTTTGTTGTCATTAATAATGTTTTGTTTATTGTGGCCTAACCAACATCTTTTGTGGTCTATGGAGAAGTTTGTGCTTATTGGACTAAATGAATTGCTCTCTTAAAGTCTACTGGTACCATCAGGAGGTGTTGCCTCAGATGTTTGATTGTATTTTGAACTTCAGTATGTAATAAAAAAAGGGCAGAGTAAATAATTAGAACCACATATTAGAAAAGATGTTTGGAAGTTAACTAGTTCTTGCTTTATCAATCGCATACGGAAATTTTGTTTGAAAAATGACAGAATGGTGTGATAGACAATAAGCACCAGATTTATGTGGTTCATTAAGTATTGCAGAACACTTATGCAGTAAGAGTGTACACTTATATAAGCACTGTATATACAGTATATATATATTATATTTTCTAAATGGTTATGACGTAGTTGAGTTCATCACCTAGCTGCTTTGACCGGCCTGTAGTCTGGTGTTTCTTCGTTTTGTTGGATTAGATGAATCTTTTCTGGAAACTACTGAGACATATTTTGATGTACTTACACTGCATGCTGCTGAAATATACAAACGAGCCTATGAGTTAGATGGAAGTAGGTATGGTGGAAAAAAATGTCCACACTTCTGACACATGTAAAGGTTTTGTTGTTCAACAGAACTTGTGTCATCTGCATCCCATAAGATTGCTCTAGTTTCTCACTTGTGAAATGTAGTTAACAACTTTAGAGTATGTTATCTGGCGTTAGTTGATGTGCGTTCTGACTGATGGAAAAGTTATCATGGATTTGCATATTCGGTCCATGTTCTAGTAGTTATGTGATCTTTACATGTGTACTTGTAGATTTAGCTTTAGTTTGTTTTGTCTTGTTCTTGTTCTTTTTTTTTTTCTTTTTTTTTTTTTTTGGAGTTCCAGTTAATTGCTCTTAAGAAAAAAAAAAAGATAATTTTTTTACTATTACTAATTTGGAAGAACTTATTTAGAGAAGTTTCACATGGGGAAATGGGTAATGTGTTTCATAAAGATGAAAAAAGAAACACTTGATTCTGGTAACTATTTGCCAGAGCAAATAAAGCTACAGCTTATTAATTATTGAACCAAATTTTGGGCTCTCGATCCTGTCTTCTATGCCCCTGGAAAGAAGCACTCTTTTACTCAAAGATGGGAGAAATGATAGACCTATTATTAATCCCAGGCAAGATACTGAATGAGCTTTATCTTCCTTTAAGAAACATGATCACATAACTTAGCTTTACAATACATGAAACTTACCATGTACTTTTGCTCACAGAATAATTGACTCAGACATGGAAATGCTTCCATTCCCTGACAATTTTTTTGTTTGGAAATCGATTCTTCAACCTAATGACTTGTATTGTTGGCTTATGTGTTCCTATCTTCCAGGATGTTTGATTCTTCTTTGAATGGTCTCCACTATGCCTATTCATTATAGATTTATAGTGGGGTTAAGTCGGAAGTGAAATATTCCATTTTATAAACTGTATTCTGGATGAGAATTCTGTGAATGTATTATATTACTAATAAGAAATCTAAAAATTGATTTTATTATATTTGCAGTAGGTATTTTCATTTGTAAACAATATGTTTGAGCACTCTTAACTTAATTGACAGGACTCATGTGATGGCTAAGATACATGACTAATTCATTTGATTTCAAATGCAGGACCACCATTTCTCTCTTTTGCAACACGAGACTGAGAAACTCAAGGGTGATATAGAAAAAATGATGGAAAAGCTCAAGAGTGATCTAGAAAAGATGCGTAGTGATCTAAGGTCTCTAGATGAATCACCTACCTGAGTCTGAAACCTCCCTTTCAATATAAGTTCTGAACAATCATTCCGATTCTTTTACTTTTTTTTTCAGTTATGAGATAGACAAAGTCACAGCTGGCCAGCGTTTGGATCTCAATCTGGAAAGAGGGTACGCCTTCTTCATTACTACCTGCCTCTTTCAAACAAAAAGGAGAATATGTTCTTTCTCATTTTATTTATAAAAGATCTGCTACTTGTACAGGAGAATTCGCGACGAGCTGAACAATCAAAATCAAGAAACCACCAACCTGACTAATAAACTTGATCGAGTGAGTATCTTTTATCGAAATGACATATAACGTCATTTTGTAATTCTTTCTCGAACAAATTCCCATTGTTGGCACGCGCTTGTGAATAGTAACAAAAATTACGGTTTGTGTATTAGTTACTTGAACAAATATGGCTAGTTTCGCTTGGAATCAAATGATTGTTGGTAAAACGCATAAACTGTTAAATCTGTTGTATATTTGATGTATTTGTTTCCTTTTCTGTCGTGCAATTTTTAGGAAATTCATGCATTGCGTGCTCAGTTAGAAGCAGCAAAGTACGACGTGATCAAATACTGCATAGGTTCGTTAGCATCTGTGGCTGCCGTTGGTCTAGCTGTAATCCGTATTCTGATGTAAGTCGGTGTCAGACATATTGTAACAAAGGATTTTATACTGTTTTTTTTTAGATTTAAAATCCTTTGTCCAAAAGATAGGGCTAGCCAACGTTGTTGTATTCTTTGATTGTAATAGTTATCATGCTTGTATTTGTAATGTAACTCTATAAGGTTGAACTGATGTGGTATTTGATTGTTTCATGTAATGCTAATTAAATTCGATACTGTACATTGACATTTGAGTTGGAAAGTGTGCTAAATGTGCGCTAAAATGAAAGAATTATGTTTAGGCTGTAAATTGAAGATAAAGGAAAGATGCAATCATTCATCTCCAATAGTTCATGAATTGTTTTTTTTTTTTTTTTTTTTTTTTT